TTGTTGTTTGGCGGGCTCGGGCTGGATTCGAACCCGCCACCTTAGGTGTATGTGGCTGGCGCCTTAGCCACTTGAGCCACAGGTGCCAAGCCGAGACTGTCTCAAAAAAACAAAAAGTATTAGAATTTTCTAGCTGGCAGGAATTTTACAATATTTTATCTTGTCCTTTAATAAGGAAATTAAGACCTAAAAGAGATTAACTTCTACTCAAGGCCTTACAGCTAGTTTTTGGTAAAACCTTGTCTATAGATACAATTACCACTAATTTTATTTTTATTTTATTTATTTATTTTTTTGAGATAGAGTCTCACTTTGTTACCCTGGGTAGAATGTCATGGCATCATAGTTCACATGATGGGACCTCAAACTCCTGGAGTCAAGCAGTCCTCTTGTCTCAGCCTCCAGAGTAGCTGGGACTACAGGCCACCACCACAATGCCTGGCTATCTTTTAGAGATGGGTTCTTGCTCTTGCTCAGGCTGGTATTGAACTGGTGAGCTCAAGCAACCCCCCTGCCTCGGCCTCCTAGAGTGCTAGGTATACAGACATGAGCCATCCTACCTGGACCCTATATCACTATTTTTAACTAAGAGAAAAGAATGTAATTCTAGTATTTATTTCTGATTTAGCTATGTCAACCAGGAAGTTACTAAAAAAAGGAATAATATGCACTTATTATGCTAAGTTCTGTTGCAGTTATTTCCAAAGAAAGTTTAAGATTGCATTGCATGAAGTTGTACTAAAATCATGTTGACCATTGACTTTGGCCTCAAGAGGGGCAATTAACATTTGTTGATTAATTATTTTTTTCCTTTATTTTTTTCTTTTCTTTTCTTGAGACAGAGTCTCAAGCTATTGCCCTGGGTAGAGTGCGTGGCCTCATCTCTCACAGCAGCCTCCAACTCTTCAGTTCAAGCAATCCTCTGACCTCATTTTTTCTATTTTAGTAGAGATGGGGTCTCACTTTTGCTTATACTGGTCTCCAACTTGTGAGCTCAAGCAATCCACCCACCCCAGCCTCCCAGAGTGCTAGGATTACAGCATCCGGCTTGAAAATTCTTTTTAAAAAAATGTATGGAAAGTTAGCTTTATTCTGACTTTGAAGTAGAGGAAATACACGTAAAATCTCTCTCCCCCCAAAATACAAAACATACACAAAAAAAGTTACATTTTTCTTAAAGTAGCCATTGAACCCTTAAAAATAAATTTAAATGCTTATTTAATTATGGTTGGTAAATTCTCTTTAATTTTTCAAATTAATTGTTTTTAATAATTTATAAATATTGACTTTTCTGGCATGTGATATAATTCTACAGTCTAAATTAGGATTTATTGTGCAGGTTCTCTGGTCTACAAGGAATTCAGATGCAGAGATATTTAATGGCACTTAAAGATGGTGATACTAATCATGAACAAGGAAGTTCCATGTTGTATCAGAAACTAGAAATATCCTAATGAAATCAGCATGAGTGCAAATTCCATTTGTAGCATATTAATAAACACTGGTGTGCAAAAATCGTGTGGGTGTTCAGAATTATTTTCCTTCTACTTCTTTATACCACCTTATCCAAATGGGCTTGAACAACTAATTTTCTGTATCACCAAAACTTGAAAAAAAATTATAAAAATCTTAAGTTTAAAATTACACAGCATTTAGGCTCGGCACCTTTAACTCAGGCAGCTAGGGTGCCAGCCACATATACCAGAGCTGGCGGGTTTGAATCCTGCCTGGGCCTGCCAAACAACAATGACAACTACAACCCAAAAATAGCCAGGTGTTGTGGCGGGCACCTCTAGTCCCAGCTACTTGGGAGTCTGAGGCAAGAGAATCGCTTAAGCCTAAGAGTTTTAGGTTTGCTGTGAGCTGTGATACCATGGCACTCTACCCAGGGCGACAGCTTGAGACTCTTGTCTCAAAAAAAAAAAAAAAATACACAGCATTTAAAAAATTTTTTTCTAAAGATGGGATCTCACTATATTCCCTAGGCTGGGCTCAAACTCCTGGTCTCGAGCACTCCTCCTGCTTTGGTCCCAAAGTACTAGGATTACAAGTTTGAGCCACTGTGCCTGGCCAGCATTTTTATTTAACGTGTTTACCATTTTGATAGGACATTCTTATGAAATTACTTAATATAATGTCTTTATAAGCGGTTACTTTGAAATTAATTTCATTTATTGGTTACTTTGTATGCCAGAAGTTTAAATCCAATAAGTACTTTTTCTTTTGACTCTGTGTGAGGAGGCATTAGTTAGGTTAGCACGTACCTAAGTTTAGCAAATGGTTAGTAATAATTGGTCATAATATATAATAACCTATGGTTCAATGGTTTTTTGACACATTTTAACAAGCCACCTCTGTCTGTTAGAATGAAGTCTGGTTCTAATAATGCATTTTATAGACTCAGGAGTAACAATGCTCAAACAATCAGGTAGTTTTAACTTACTGATTTTATAATATACTTATTTAAATAACTTAAATTTTAATTTGTTTAACTTGGTGAAGAAAATTTAGGACCATATGATTGCTTTTCTATGTAGAGTCACTGATTCATTCTCTATAGCTCTAAAGTATAGAACTCAACTTTGTTCCTTTATCAGAAATTTTCTAGCTGTTCTTATGTGGTGCATACTGTGCCAAGGACTGGGAATACAGGGGTGAGCCCCAAGAGACAGAGTTCCTGACTTCACAGAATTTATAGTCTAATGGAGGGTAATAAATTAGGGTGGACTTAGCTGCCCTAATTATGAACTAAAGTGGATTAAACAAGATGGAAATTTATATCTTTCTCAAGGAATATCTCACGTGGCTCCAGTGCATTGGAGACTAGGCTTGTGGCTTTGTTACTCCTAAGGTGTTGCCTTATTCACACAGTCCGAGGTGACTCACACCTATCTTTCTGTGTTCTAGTCAGTGGGAAGTGGGGACGCAAGGGCCTGCCCCTCACCTTTAACTTAGAAGTGGCACCCTTTCCTCCTCCTCATACCCACCAGCCAGGCTTAGTCACACTGCCACTCCTTACTGTAAAGGAGCCTGAGAGATGTATTCTCATTCTGGATGGGCTCCTTGTCTAGCTACAAATTGAAGAGTATATGAGGGAAAGTTGGTGTAGATTAGGGACATTGGTAAGATTGTTTTATTGTAAACATTCTGATAATGAATTGATGTTTAACTGTTAAGCTTACTTATGTTGAGACTTTTGAATTTTGCTTATAGAAAATTTTTAAAATAAAAGTATAAATTATTTACCTTTAACTTGTGTTTTTAGCATGTGTGTAAAGCACTTCAAGAGTTATATAGTGTTAACTGTTCAGCTGAAGATGTTTTGAACTTGGATTCTAGCACTGATGAAAAATTTAGCCGCCATTTAATATTTCAGCTCCGAGATGTGGCATTTAAAGATAACATTCATGTGGGTGAGTACTGTTTTATTAAAAAAATGATAGGAGTTGTATTAAAAACTCATATTTTGGCTCGGCGCCTGTGGCTTAAGCGGCTAAGGCGCCAGCCACATACACCTGAGCTGGCGGGTTTGAATCCAGCCCAGGCCGCCAAACAACGATGGCTGCAACCAAAAAATAGCCGGGCGTTGTGGTGGGCGCCTGTGGTCCCAGCTACTTGGGAGGTGGAGGCAGGAGACTCACTTGAGCCCAGGAGTTGGAGGTTGCTGTGAGCTGTGATGCCATAGCACTCTACCCAGGGCGACAGCTTAAGGCTTTATCTCAAAAAAACAAAACAAAAAACCTCATATTTTCCTATTCCTCTTAAAGTTTGTAAGGGCTTACCAAGTTTTATGGTTGGTAACTTATCCTAAAATACAAAATGTGATCTTTCATGATTTCAGGATTTGCCCTTGGACCTGTCCTTCTGTTCCAGGCACATTAACTGCCCAGAACATCTTTGGCGTTAGCGCCTCTCACCATAGATACTGGAGGGCCACGCATGTCCGAGTGTTGGCATCTGCTCCAACGGGATCCATCTCAGCTGTCTGAAAATTCATAAGAGGCTTTTTCATTTCTAGCCTTTTCTGTGACTCCTCTTCCCCGGATTTCTGACCTTTGCTTCAGCCTTCCTTTGGGACTTGGGTCCCACGTCACATCAGGGAAGACTTGTTTGCTGAAGCTTTGTTACCCCAGGCTGAACTTCGGGGCTGGAAGGAAGTCTGGATATGGAAGCCTGAGTGTACCACCAGAGTATTGGTCCTAGGCCTGGGCATCAGAGATACAGGCTGAGGTGTGAAATGACGTCAGTCTGGAAGAAGACATGGGGCAGGAAGGGAGTACCAGAATTCAAGTCTGAACAGAAGCCCAAATCCTGCATGTTTGTTAAGGGAGGGTAGGGCAAGTATTCCAAACAGCAGATGGCTGACTGAGCACAGGTGACAGGTCATTCATTGTTTCAGGGTGTCTAACGGCTTCACAGCCACCTAGGGTGAAAGGCATGAGTGTGGTCACTAAGGGACGGGCATAAAAGCCAGGAACCTAACTCGAACTAGGTGTCACTGGTCACGATCTGTGCTCGCCTCCTGTTACTGCCATGGAGTGTTCCTTCCCTGTCTCTTCCTTCACCCTTTAGATGTTAGTAATTATAGAATCTGTCCCCCCCCTCCCCCTTCTCACTCTGTCCTTACCCTTGACAGTTGTCCACTGTCACGGCTTTTACAGTCATCTGTGTTTGACTCTGAAATCTTTATCTTCAGCCTAGATTGTTGTCCTAGATGCCCCTGTAGCCAACCAGCCACCAAATGTCCCTATGCAGACACATTACACTGAGCGTGTCCTATGCTTAGCTCTTCATCTTCCCCCCAGAACCTGTTGGTGTCATCCTTGACCACGGTGTGTCTCTCAACCCACTCACTTGGCTAGCCAGCTGGAGTGAGCTGGGGACCCTGCTCCTGGGCCCCAGGGGCTTGGATGGACATTCTTTGCCCGCTTGAAGGAATGTGGTCAGGCCCCTGTGCTCCTGCCTCATCTGTGGCCACCCCATACTGCGCACTGGGGCCACATTTCCGGGATTCCCCAGCCGCTGCATGTTTGATGCAGCTGTCTGCACAGACACACCTCCAGATTCAGCCAGTCTGTCAGCTCCGTGCAGCTGTCACATCATCTGAGAAGCTCGGTCATGGCCCAAACCCTAAGATTGAGCTGAGTGTTGCTCCGGGTTGCAGTGTCCGGTATTGGTTGTTTATACCACTTCCTGAGTCATTTCCTGGTTCCTTTTCTTCTCTTCAATTCACTTAATATTTCCTAGGGGCAGGGACTATTTATTCACTACTGTATATGGTATTTCCAGAGCTTAGCACGGAATGGTTGTGGGGAAGCATTCCTCAGGACTCTGACAAAAGCACAGCTATTTGGGAGACAAGTAGAGAAAGAAAGCAGACCAGAAACCAAATTGCAATCACAGCAACTCCTTCCCATACTCCTATAAATCTTCACGAGGACAGCGAGTGATAGGGAACGTGTCAGAAACCAAAGGCATGGTCACAGCAACCCTCTCTCCACTGTCCTGAAATGCTTCAAGGCTGGTGTTCCTGGGAAGCATCAGGATCTCCTACCCAGGCCCTGGCTGGAACTAGAGATAAGGCCTCATGCAAATTTAACACCTTTTGTGGAAGGCAGTAATTCTAAAAATCAGTCTCAGACCAGCATTTTTCACTCTGTAGGAAAAGTGACTTCCCTCACCTGTCATGATCTCCTCCCACACTCTAGCTACACTAATAAAAGTTCCTTGAAACTGTGTGAGGGGAGCTGACTTCTGGTCAGACTCCACTGGGCTCCTTTAAAATAAAGCCCATCCTTCATCCCTGGACTGGCCTCCTCTCCTTGCGGACTCCAGCAGGACTCTATCCCTAAACCTCTCAGTGGTAATACGTTACTGACAACATTAATAGATGAGTAAAAACAAGCACAACAGTAACTTGCAGAAGGCCCCTGCAAGTGGGCCTTCCGGGAGTATTTGCTGAGTAAAGGTGAAAGCAGTGGTGAGAATATGGAGTCGGGCAGGCTAGGGCAGACACGGCACGGCTGGTCTGGGCAGTTTAGGTTGTATCTGACCTTCACCCCTGTCTCTCATTCTTACCGTTTTGTAAATTAACCTCCCACCCTAAGATGCCGATCTTGAGTAGAAGAATTGATTTATGAAATTGACTTGAATTGGAGCTGCTGTAATAGGTCACTGAGTTGTGCTGATTATTATTTAAAGTAAGGGTTAATGTTGATCTTTGCTTTGAATTTTTATGTATAAAACTGTGGTTTTGGAAAAGGAAGAACAGAATAGTCTTGGGGAGGCTACTGTCACTGTTCTCCAGAATCGCTGGCCTTCTGACAAAGTTTGGTGGACCTGTCCCCGTCTCTGCATATTGGCTGACAGTGACAGGCGGCCAGACCTTCTTCGTCCAATAACAAACATGGGGATGGTAGGAGCCCTCCTGCCTGTGTGGAGATGAGTCCTGGCAAGCCACTGCTTTGCTTCCAGTTTACCCTTCCCAGTCTGCTCTGTGACTACTAGGCAGAGGCTAAAAACAGCCCCTGTTGCTCAGAAAGGCACCTTCTGATATCTTACCTCTGGGCTTTGGTTTGTCATCTGTAAACAAAGCCAGAAAGGCTTTACTATTAATATAGCATAAGCAAACAGATAAGAACATGGGGCTGACTGGGCCCTGTGGGGGTCTGTGTGAAGCAGAGACAAAGTTAGTGGGTGTCAGCTGAGGCCTTGCCCCTCAGGCTGAGCAGCCAAGGTCAGCGATGCAGTAGGGAGCAGGTGGTGTTCCCCTGGTTTCCCTTCCTCAGTGCGTCTCCTGATGGCATCTCTAGCTCTGTTGACAGCCTCTTGGAAAGAAGTAGATTAAATGTAAGAGATCACGGAATTTGATCTACTTAAAAATATTTTTTTGCCAATTTGCCATCATACCTGACATTTTTGTGGTTCTTTTGCTTTACTCCAGCTGGTGAGACAGTCCCTGTCTTTGTGAGGGGTGGAGGTGATGAGAGGAGCCATTGTCACATGCAGTCCATGGAGCTCCCTGCCAAGGATGAAAAGCCTAGTGGGCTGCTCAGCGCCCCCCTCATGCCATTTCTGCAATTTGCATTCGTTTTTTTTTTTTGCAGTTTCTGGGCCGGGGCCAGGTTTGAACCCACCACCTCTAGTATATGGGACCGGTGCCCTACTCCTTTGGGCCACAGGGGTACCACTCTGTTTTTCTTTTCTTTTCTTTTCTTTTTTTTTTTTTTGAGACAGAGCCTCAAGCTCTCCCCCAGGGTAGAGTGCTGTGGCATTACAGCTCACAGCAACCTCCAACTCCTGGGCTCAAGCGAGTCTCCTGCCTCAGCCTCCCAAGTAGCTGGGACCACCGCCCGCCACAACACCCAGCTATTTTGTTGTTGTTGTTGTTGCAGTTTCGCCGGAGCCGGGTTTGAACACACCACCCTCTGTATATGAGGCCAGTGCCCTACTCACTGAGCCACAGGTGCTGCCCTGTTTTTCTTTTTTTTAAAGACAGGGTCTTACTCTGTCACCAGGCTAGAGCACAGTGGCACAGTCACAACTCATGGCAGGCCTGAATTCAAGTGATTCTTCCTCCTTAGCCTCCCCAAGTGCTGGGGCTACAGTGAACTACCAGCCTTATCTTACTGCCTCGGGTGAAATAGATGCAATTTTATGTTTCCAGGAAAATTTAACTCTATCGATTTATGTTTATATTGCTTTGTTTGTCTTGGACACACTGTTATTTCATTGTCTACCCTTTCTCCCTCATTCCAGAAGCAATCATGTCTGTATAGGCATATCACTACAAAGTTCATTTTATTTGCTTTCATTTTACTTTTGGTGCTTTGTAAGAAATTGGATTTGTTTCTTTGAGTAAGGAAGTAATTAAGGCTGACTGGAAGAAGGAGAATTTTGAATTGAAAGCTTGTATAAGTTATCATTTAAGAGTTCAAGGCTTTCTGGTGAATAAAGTGAAGGATAAAAGGAGATGACAGTTCTAGAGATTAAAATTAACTTTTGGCTCGGCGCCTATGGCTCAAGTGGCTAAGGCGCCAGCCACATACACCAGTGCTGGTGGATTTGAGTCCAGCCTGGGCCTGCCAAACAATGACAGCTACAACCAAAAAATACCCAGGTGTTGTGGCGGGTGCCTGTAGTCCCAGGTACTTGGGAGACTGAGGCAAGAGAATCACTTAAGCTCAGGAGTTGGAGGTTGCTGTGAGCTGTGATGCCACTGCACTCTAGCCAGGGCAACAGCTTGAGACTCTTGTCTCAAAAAAAAAAAAAAATTAACTTTTTCTTATAGTATTGCATTTTTCTAGTATTGTTATATATGAAGTAACTTAACAGCCAAATTATTACTGGATTTCATGAGATAATAATATATGTGAGTGTAAATAAGTCCCAGACTATCTTATATACTTCTCTGTGGAGAGCAGGCCGTGAAAGCGGCAGGGCCCCCACAGCCTGGGGAACATTCAGAGAATGACCCCCCAACTGCTGCTTCTCCTTTCCCCAAACAGCAATACTCCTTTCTCCATGCTCCCTCTACCAGAAATCAGGTAGCTCTTTCTTTGTCTAGTTAATCTTTAGAAACTATGCAGAAATCCTTGTGATCTTTCCCTTTTTACCTTTTAACATATGTTAACAAAGTAAGAAACCATTAAGAGGATGATTTGTTTTTGATAATTTATGTTTTCCAATCATACTGTAAGACCAAAAATGTGTCTTTTTGTCTGTGCTGCTGCCCTGTAAAAACAACCCTGCTGAGAAACTATTATAAAGTAAAACTGATTTTGTGTTTTGGTGCTGGCTGCAGTCATCACCTGTGTCAGACAGACCTCCTGGCCCATCTTCCGTCTGTGTCTTCTCTGGTATTTTATTTTCTCAGTCCCCATGGCTTCTACTCTGGTTTGTTCTCCATCTCTACACAGGCTCGCAAAACTTCTGATGGTACAGATAGGAGCTCCGGTATTGAGTTCTTAAGATAGATACTGGAGTACAATAAATGTATTGAATTGCTGCAGTTTGGGATTCTAGCTCCAAGGCCATACTCCATCCCGTGAACAGTTTTGAGAGAAAAGGAAGAGAGGTGACCTCATTGGAGTTGGCTGTGAAAGTCAGGGCTCGTAGGACATACCATGGCAGGTAAAAAAGAGAGAATGTGCTCCTGAGACGTTGGCTGGTATCCTGTCTTCAGCAGGGTCTGGCAGAGATTCTCTCCGCACTCCTGGGCCACCTCCTATGAACCCTGCGACTCTGCTCGGTTTGTGTTAATAGACATCGTGGAGTCTGGGTGACAAGTCCATCTTGGTGACACTGACACACTTTCTCAAATTAACCTTCCCTTCTAAAATGATGCTCAGCTCCCCTGCCAGTGGAAGTTGGAAAGTAAGAGATTGCTTAGGTGGAAGGAAGTAGCAGGAGAGGTGTGTCACAGTTTCTGACAACTCAGTTTCAAAATCAGAAATGAAAAAAATTGTACATTTAGGTTTGTGCCCAGATCTTAAGTTATAATTTTATGGAAAAGAAGAATCAGACTAACCATAGCATCTTTTCTCCTTAGGTAATTTTGTGAGAAAAATTTTTCAGCCTGCTTGTCACTTAATTGCCAGGGAAAATGACAGTGGGCTTCAGGAGGCGACAGGCCATGAATGTCCCCATGTTTCTGAAGCACCAGTAAAACAAGGAATTTCCACAGACAGCGACATGGGAGGGAACTGGCCCTTTAATCCAGGGAGACTGGAGCGGCTGGGGTCTGCTGAGCAGAGCACTCCTGATCTTTCATTTTTAGTTGTGAAGAATAACATGGGAGAAAAGCATCTTTTTGTAGATCTCGGTAAGTTCACTTGGCAGTTGTCTCTGTCAGACCTTCCGGATACTTCTGTGAGAAACAAGCAGTGCCCACTGGTCGTGTGCTTGGAGTTCTCACTTCTACCCTTGACGTGTAGGCACTGCAGGGTGTGAGCAGGGAGCTCAGGAGGTGGACGGGAATAGCTGTGACTGGCACTTACTCTGAATGTCCAGAGGCTTCCTGTCAAGGGAGTTGGTTTTTATTTGGCTTTGGTTTATATTTTAGAAATGAGGTCTTGCTGTGTTGCTGAGCTGGACTCAAATGGTCCTCCCACCTCAGCCTCCTGAGTAGCTGGGACTTCATGTGCCACCACTATGCCTGGTTTGTCAAGGGAGTCTTGGTAGGGGACCGTTGGACCTGCACCCAACACTGCCGAGAGGTTAAATTAGATGACATAAATTTTAGTTGTTCCTTCTAGTAATGCTGTACAAAAATAATTTAATATTTGTTGACTGTAAAAGTCACAGAAAACATGTATAAATTTTGATTTATTTTTGATGTAGGAGTTTATACAAGAAATAGAAATTTTCGACTCTATAAATCATCAAAAATAGGAAAGCGTGTGGCTCTGGAGGTTGCTGAAGACAACAGATTTTTTCCTCTCCAGCCAAAATGTCTCTCTAAAGAATATCAGTATTTTCTGGCTTCTTTGGTCAGCAATGTCAGGTATGCAGTACCAGCTTGATGACTGTTTACTGAACAATGTCATTGTTAACTAAAATGCAAGTCACATAAAGTCACTCCACCTAAAGTAAAAGAATAGTCACGGCTTAAAGAGATCTAAGTTAATTGTTTTCTTTTTTTCCATTAACTAAAAAATAATAGTAAAATGTAAACTCCTTTTCTCTTTGTGTCTTTTTATAATTACTGTTAATCCTCCTGTATTGATTTGTTTATTTGAGCACCAGGGTCTAGCTCTGTCATCTCTGTCAGAGTGCAGTGGCGTGGTCATAACTCCTGGGCTCAAGCGATCCTCCCACCTCAGCCTTTTGAGCAGGGTAACAGGGACTACAGGTGCTGTCAGCACACCTGGCCTTTAAATATTTTCAGTGTGGGGCTGTCTGAACCTGCAGATGTGGAACTCTGGACCCGCTAGTGGGCTGAACACTTCAGTCTGTCCCTTTAGCAGTTCTAGAGTCTTCTGATCCACTCTGTAACTGAGGACAGTATTTTACACAGTCCCCAATCAACTCTTTTTAAAAAAATTTTATTTTCTTTAATTGACAAATCATACTCTTTTTTATGTAGGTAGGGTTGTTGCTTTTGTGGGCAAATGTGGCAGAAATGTCCTAGAACAGGCCAGGTGCAGTGGCTTACGCCTGTAATCCTAGCACTCTTGAGAGGCTGGGGTGAATGGATTGCTTGAGGTCACAGGTTTGAAACCAGCATGAACCAGAGCGAGACCTCATAGCTGGGCACTTGGCGGGTGCCTGTAGTCCCAGCTACTTGGGAGGCTGAGGCAAGAGAATTGCTTGAGCCCAAGAGTTTTTTTTTTTTTTTCTTTTGTAGAGACAGAGTCTCACTTTATCACCCTTGGTAGAGTGCTGTGATGTCACAGCTCACAGCAACCTCCAACTCCTAGACTTAGGTGGTTCTCTTGCTTCAGCCTCCCGAGTAGCTGGGACTACAGGCACCGGCCACAACGCCTGGCTATTTTTTTTGTTGCAGTTTGGCTGGGGCTGGGTTGGTATATGGGGCCAGCACCCTTACCCATTGAGCCACAGGCGCCACCCTGAGCCCAAGAGTTTGAGGTTGCTGTAGGCTGTGAGGCCACGGCACTCTACTGAGGGCAACAAAGTGAGACTGTCTCCAAAAAAAAAAAAAAAAAAAAATGTCCTGCAACAATTTACATTTAATTGTTAAACAAAGCATTTTCTTTCTTCTTGTTGTTTGGAAATGGAATCTCACTCTGTTGCCCTGGGTAGAGTGCTGTGGCTTCATCAGAGCTCACAGCAACCTCAAATTCCTGGACTCAGGTGATCCTCCGGTCTCAGCCTTGCAAGTACCTGGGACTACAAGCGCCTGCCACTACATCTGGCTAGTTTTAGTAGAGATAGGGTCTCACTCTTGCTCAGGCTGGTCTCAAACTCCTGAGCTCTGGAGGTCCTCTCACTTGAGCCTTCCGAGAGTGCTGGGTTTATAGGCATGAGCCACCTCATCTGACCCAAAGGATTTTAATATGGAACTATTTCAGATTTGTTTCTGTAGCTATTCCTCTTGAATTGTAATAGAATATTTGTTTCCTTTACATATTTTCTTCTTCAGATTCTCAGATTCTTTAAAAATTCTTACATGTGACATATTTCAGGATAAACGAAAGAGAATTGAATATTCTAATGGAATCAGCACTTCCAGCACTTCAGGTAATTTTAAGAAAATAATTTCTTATAGAAATTTAGGGATATAAAATTGATTTTGCCTTAAAATCTTAAGTATTCATATCCATTAATCATTTTAAAATACTTGTAGGTTTCTATACAAAGTGGAAAAAGCATTTTAAAAGGATGTTTATTAAAGGATTACTTGCTAATTTTCATTTTATCTTATTTTATTTTTGAGAGAGTCTCACGTTGTCACCCTCAGTAGAGTGCTGTCATGCCACAGCTCATGGCAGCCTCAAATTCTTGGGCTCAGATGTTTCTCTTGCCTCAGCCTCTCAAGTAGCTGGGACTACAGGCACCTGCCACAATAGCCGGCTATTTTTTTAGAGATAGGGTCTCACTCTTGCTCAGGCTGGTCTTGAACTCATGAGCTCAGTCAGTCCATCTGCCTCAGCCTCCCAGAGTGCTGGGATTATAGGCGAGTCACTGTGCCTGGCGGATTTTTCTGTCTTTACAATTTAAACTTTCAGACTCATACCTGTAATCCCAGCACTTTTGGAGGCCAAGGCGGTTGGATTGCCTGAGCTCAGGAGTTAGAGATCAGCCTGAGCAAAGTGTGAGATCTAGTCTCTAAAAACAGCTGGGCGTTGTGGCAGGCATCTGTAGTCCCAACTATTCAGGAGGCTGAGGCAGGAGTATTGCCTGAGCCCAAGAGTTTGAGGTTGCTATGAGCTATGATGCCACAGCACTCTACCAGAGGTGACAACGTAAGATTGTATCTTAAAAAAAAAAAAAAAAGCTGAGGACATGGGGCACCTGCAGTGATTGAGCCAGGTTTATCCCTCCTGGACTCGGTGGAGATGCACACCCTGGGGAACCGCCAGGTGTCTCAGAATTGTTGCTTGGCGTTGTTAGGATGCCTGTGTGGCTGGTTGTCTACTGTCTAGAAGCAGTAGCAGTTCCTCAGGGCACCCAGGGTTGGAGGGGTGGGGGTGTTTATCGTTTTTGTGGTTTGGAAATATCTCCTCTTTTACTGTGTGCAGACCTGAGTACACAGTGGTCTTGAATCCTCACGACCAGTCTCATCTGCTGAAGTTCTGTGAGTTCATTTATGTTCTTCAGGGACTACCAGGGCTGGGGTGTGAGTGCCAGACTGGCTCGTGGCCACATCAAGGCCTTGCTGGTAGAACTAGGCCCCTCCTGGACGCCAGGCACTGCCTCTGTCTTTTCCAGAAGGAACACAGCAGCTGAAATTATTTCAGATGTTCTCTCTGAAAATCAGTTAACGTTTGACCTAATTGAGACGTCTTGAACTTTACCTGCTTCCTTGTAGGATAACAAAAAGTCCATGAAGGAACTGAAAGGCAAATTGCAAAAAAGGGGAGAAAAAAAGCTGAGGGGTTGCAAAACCCATACTTGTTGTACTAAGTAACAATTTAATCGAAATTGAACTTATTAACGGCTGTTGTAATTTATATTAATTAATTATATTAATTTATATTAATTCTTTTCTCTGTTGCAGTAGGAACCATGGAAGGTTTTCAGTGTTCTCCCTATCCTGAAGTTGATCATTTTGTTCTTTCTTTGGTGAATAAAAACGGCATTACAGGAGGTATAGCTAATCTTTTTCTTTCTTAACTATGACATAATAAGAGTAGCAGGACCTTTAGAAACATTCTTTGCATTGTAGGGATTCGGCATTGGAACTACTTTTTCCCAGAAGAATTATTGGTGTACGATATTTGTAAATATCGCTGGTGTGCAAACATTGGAAGAGCCCACAAGAGCAATAATATCATGTAAGTAACATTATCAATGATTTGTGTGTAACCAATATTATAGACTTTTATGTTTAAGAGTATAAAAATGTTTCTGTGATAAATTTTGTAATCAAATTTATGTTTGTCATACTTAGCATTTTTTATTGGTCAATTTGAATATCTTAATTATTGCATTGCTTCTAGCACATCAGCTTTATTCTTACTGTGAATCTACGGACAACTCGGGTAGACTGAGCAGGGACAGAAGAGTGGCCAGGTGGACAAAGGGAAGGTGCCTCTCCCTCCCTGTTGTCACTGGCCCTGGACACCGCCTAGAATCTAGATCAAAATTGGGCAGATTTGGGCAAGGAGACTCCTCAACGAGTGTTATGACCTCGAGGTGACAGCTATGCTTACCATCTGTCTATTTTTTCTGTGTATATTAGTTTACCAAAAGTCACTATTAATTTATGAAAAAGTCGGGTGGCACCTGTGGTTCAGTGAGTAGGGCGTGAGCCCCATAGACTGAGGATGGTGGGTTCAAACCCAGCCCCGGCCAAACTGCAACAACAAAAAAATAGCTGGATGTTGTGGCAGGCACTTGTAGTCCCAGTTTCTCAGGAGGCTGAGGCAAGAGAATCACCTAAGCCCAGGAGTTGGAGGTTGCTGTGAGCTGTGTGACGCCACAGCACTCTACTGAAGGTGATAAGTGAGACTGTCTCTTAAATTTTTTTTTTTTTTATTATGAAAGTCAGAGATCATACAAGTTGTATTGTGAAGTACACTCGTTAGAGTGTGTATGAGGGACATGTACGTTACAGACTAACACTAAAATGACCGCTTGTCATGTCTGCCACTCATTCACCTTAGGAAGTGGACCTTGATAAACCAAAACGTTGTAGGCCCAACCCCAATTTCTTCCTCTTCTCTTGCCCTCAGAGGTTACAGCTATTACCCTAGATTTTATGTCAGTCTTTGTGCATGTATGTTTGTATCTGTGAACAACATACAGTTTTATGTTGCATGTGTTTGAACTGCACCCTTTTGCATGTCCCCGTGAGGGGCGTCCACATTGCCGCATGTAGCTGCTGCTTGTTTGTTTGTCACTGTGTCCCACCAGGTAACCACAAACATGCCACGGTTTGTCTGTGTCCTGCCCTGGACATTTGGTTCACTTTCATAAACCATGAAGCTGTGAGCCTCTTTGTACACATTGCCTAGTACACATGTGCCAGAAGCTCTCAAAGCACGTACACACCTATAAGGGGAGTCGCTGTGTCATACAGTCTGGAGACATTTAATTCTACTGGGTAATTAGCTGTTCCCTGAGTGGTTGTGCTAATTTATACTCCTGCCAGCAGTGTTCTGAGATCATCTACTGCTCCATGGTCTCCCCATTACTTTTGCATTGTTAGGTGATCTCACCTTCTGTACAGCCTTCCTGACAAGGTGCGGGATAGGGATAAGGAAGGAAAAGGCCTGGGTGAGGCAAAGCAAGGCCCCTGCCGCCCTCTGACTCGGCACACAGGGAGTGCTCACCACACACAGCAGGGAGCACACAGGCTGAGACAGCCTCATTTATTCCACATGGTGGCACAGGAAGGGTGGCATTTCCAGAAACCATGTCTCACGAATCTGTATGTTCTAGGTTTACTTACCATATACAACCCTAAAATTGGGAATATCCTACAAAGGGCATTCTGGTACCCCATGGTATTTCAATCATTTTTTCACATTTACTTTGAGGCCAAAATAAATACCTAAGAGCTGTGTTAATGAATTATTTTCAAATAACCTGGTAAGTACTTATGTCCTGACAATTCAGTAGCTGTTTGAAAAATAATATTCACGCTTTGAAAGAGCATAATACTTGCCTGAATTTTTTTGAGACTGTCTCATTGTATCATCCTATGCAGAATGCCCAGGTGTCATACCTCATAGTGACCTCTAACTCTTGGGCTCAAGTGATTCTCTTGTCTTAGCCTCCCAAATAGCTGGGACTGGAGGCACCTGCCACAATGCCTAGCTATTTTTAAAGATGGGGTCTTGCTCTAGCTCAGGCTAGTCTCAAACTCATGAGCTCAGGCGATCTACCCACCTTGGCCTTCCAAAGTGCTGGAATTGCAGGAGCCACTACACCCGGCCTTTGATTATTAAATGCTCCTACATATGAATTGGAACTTGTGCCCTTTTGGTGTCACGTGACTTCCTAAACCCTGGACTCAGATTGGAGACCCTGCACTCCCACCCCGTTGTGTTCCTTGTGGGTAATGATTTTTATCACACCACCAAAACCCCCCAGCTCTTCAAAGGTGGGACAACCTTAAAAGGAATGAAGTGTGATGTATATTGAAGACAGGCACTGAAGGCAGCTGGTAGGAGCAGAGCAAAAGGATGGACATTTCACATACTTTTAGTATGTAGATTTCCAGTTCTATTTAAGTTATTTTCTAATTTCTATTCTTTGTCCTGGGGCTATTGGTTACTTGTTTTTAATTAACAAATTATGAGCACTCTGGGAGGGTGAGGCAAGCAGATCACCTAAGCTCACGAGTTTGAGATCAGCCTAAGGTAGACCCTGTCTCTTACAAAAATAGCCAGGTGTGCTGGGCATGGTGGCTCACACCTGTAATCCCAGCATTTGCAAGGCCGAGGCGGGTGGATTGCCTAAGCTTCTAGGTTCAAGTCCAGCCTGACCCAGAGCAAGACCTCCCCACCTCTAAAAAACAGTTGGGCATTGTGGGAGGTGCCTACAGTCCCATACTTGGGAGTCTCAGACAAGAGAATCGCTTGAGTCCAAGAGTCTGAGGTTGCTGTGAGCTGTGATGGACGGCATTCTACCAGGAGAAACAAAGTAAGACTGTCTCAAAAAACAAAACAAATTATGAGTTTCTATTAGCCTTTTCTTTCTTTCTTTTTTTTTTTTTTTTTGAGACAGAGCCTCAAGCTGTCACCCTGGGTAGAGTACCGTGGCATCACAGCTCACAGCAACCTCCAACTTCGGGGCTCAAGTGATCCTCTTGCCGCCTCCTCCCAAGTAGCTGGGACTACAAGTGCCTGCCACAACACCCGGCTATATTTTGTTGTGGCCATTATTGTTTTGCGGACCCAGGCTAGATTCGAACCCACCAGTTCAGGTGTATGTGGCTGGCACCTTAGCCACTTGAGGCACAGGGGCTGAGCCTAGCCTTTTATTTCTAAAATTTGCTTTGTATCAGAGAATGTGTTCTGTGTGAATTGATACTTTTAAATTGGTAAGATTCATTTATAGCTGGCATGGAGTCAGTTTTTATTATATACTATAAGGAGCAGATTCACATATGTCCATTAGTTCAAATTTAATTGGTTTTTAATTGTCATTCACATTTTCTGTATTCTCATTGACCTTTTGGTTATTGGATCTGCAAATTACCAAGAATTTTTTTTAAATCTGGATTTATGGTAAAAGATTTGTCCTTACAGTTCTGTCAGTATTCACATTTTAAAAAATTTTTGTTTTCTTTTTGAGCTGCCTCAGCCTGCTAAGTAGCTGTGACTACAAGTATGTGCCACCACGGCCAGCTTACTTTTCTTTTGCCCAAAGTCCTGCCTCAATGATCCCGTCTTGGCCCCCCCAGTGTTAAATTGTTCCCACAGAGCAGAACCTGTATAAGTTGACCACCCAAGGGACTGTAACTCTGGTCACCATAAGGAGCTGGGCCTCTTGTACTGATAAATACATGTGGTGTCTGTCCAGTGTGTGTTTAAGAAGATGGTCAGTTATGGAGGTTCTACTGTATTCTGAAGTCCGTTATTTGGAGGATGCAGGTTAGGAATGTTTTATCTTCCCAGAGTGAACTTTTGTCACTATCTACTTTTTTCTTAGGCTTTTGTGATATTTTTGGGAATGAGTTTTCTTTTGGTGTCTACTTCCACTTTTTAAACTTTTTCCCATCTTTGTCTTAGACTTAGCATGCAAGGAAATTTTGTTATCTAGTCTTAGTGTTACTATTTACCTTTTTTTTTTTTTTTTTGAAACAAAGGATTCTGGTTGACCTCAAAAGTGAAGTTTGGTATCAGAAATGTCATGACCCCGTGTGTAAAGCAGAAAACTTCAGATCTGACTGTAAGTTATTTTTATGTTTAACCCAAAGTAAAAATTAGGTGGCATCTATATAAAAGTTTGCTGTCTGATACAGGTTCTCCACTACCTGCTGAAGTGTGTCTCCAGTTTCTCTTCAGAGAGGTAAGTCAGGTCTTGCTTCCCCTTGAGAAGCAGTTCTTGGTACAGTAGCATAGCTATACACAGCGTCCCTGTGTCCAGATGGCTAAGAGCACAAAGTTTGGCACCTGCTTCCAATTAGGAATACACACTTTAGTCCCAGACATTTAAGAAGTTTCTCATGTTTTGCTTTACAAAATAAACCAAAATTCCCATCTTTGTTTCTTTAAACTATCTGAAGGATCAATTTCTAGAAGCAGAATTATATCAGAGTATATGCAGTTTTTTTTTTTTCTTTTTTTGAGAGCCTCAAGCTATCACCTTGGGTAGAGTACGATGGTGTCACAGCTCACAGCAACCTC